ACAACTGCATATCAATTTACATATTTAAAATTTAGATCCTTTCAAGTGCAAGCGCGCGTCATTGATGATGTTTATCGGTTTTTAATAATAATGCCGACCGATTAGAGAGAGAGAGAGAGACGGTATATCGATTAAATACGCATAATTCGTGCGCAATCGATCACATACAGAAATTGATTTCACGTTTCGACTCTTCTAGCCTTCCTCCGGGAAAATATAAATGATCTATTATTTATTTATTTATTTGTCTGTATAAACGAGAAAAAAATCCCTTTAGTAGAGAAAGGAATTTATTACACAGTACTAACATCTCAGCAATAACGCAAATTATGTTGAACTCTCAACACCCTTTTGAATTACAAAATGAAATTGAAATGGAGGATGCCAAATTTAACGAAGATAATTAGATGATGCGCGTTTAAATATTATCCGATTTAGAAGTTTATTCTAGTGTGCAATGAGAGAAAAAAAGAGGACAAGACTGAAGGATATACGCGTGCAACAAGCGTGTATTTCTATCATGTACATTATACAATATAGCGCACTATGTAACTCCGCTATTCGCGCGCCTAGCTGGCGCCCGGCGTATTTTATCGTCTCTTTCTTTCTCTAAACTCGCTATCGTGCGAACGACGAAATTTCAATATTTATTATCTCTCGCATACCTCACCGCCTGCCTTTGTTCGGCTACGAAGGAAACGAGAGAGAGAAACGGAGTCGTATATAAGTAAAATTGTACACAGATAATGTTAATTATATGTGTTATTAAGATACGCGGTCACTACCACACAAACAGTAACGTTAACTTGATCAGTTAAGAGATGCATGTTGACAATAGATATAGATTGTTGGAAAAGGAGAGGCAGGCGCCGCTTACGGATGTAAATCTATCGCGATCGATCGTGAATCATTCTTACGTCGCCGCACGTTTCGTTGCCCCGCTCCGGCTCGAGTAAACGATTTTATTACTCGCGTTGCGCATTCCGCGAACGAGACGAGAAATCGACCCCTTTTCGAGGTAGTTTACACCATCGCTTTTGTAATGGTCTTTGTTTGTTTGCGGCGATAATTGCTCCAACAAACTCTTCGGCGCCGAGTATTTTCGGGGAAGCACATGTGGAGTCTTTCTTTTTCATCACCTCTCTCTCTCTCTCTCTCTCTCTCTCTTTCGTTCTTTTTTTAAATACAATCCAATAATTTATAAAACTTGCTTTCTTTAAACTGTATTCTCATTTGGATGAAAAGGATTTTTTAATAAATTGCCTCGCGCAATTAGAATGTATCGATTATTCAAAATACACACAAACGCATCGAGAACGTCGGATTTCACGTTTCGACTCTTCTAGCCTTCCTCCGGGAAAATATAAATGATCTATTATTTATTTATTTATTTGTCTGTATAAACGAGAAAAAAATCCCTTTAGTAGAGAAAGGAATTTATTACACAGTACTAACATCTCAGCAATAACGCAAATTATGTTGAACTCTCAACACCCTTTTGAATTACAAAATGAAATTGAAATGGAGGATGCCAAATTTAACGAAGATAATTAGATGATGCGCGTTTAAATATTATCCGATTTAGAAGTTTATTCTAGTGTGCAATGAGAGAAAAAAAGAGGACAAGACTGAAGGATATACGCGTGCAACAAGCGTGTATTTCTATCATGTACATTATACAATATAGCGCACTATGTAACTCCGCTATTCGCGCGCCTAGCTGGCGCCCGGCGTATTTTATCGTCTCTTTCTTTCTCTAAACTCGCTATCGTGCGAACGACGAAATTTCAATATTTATTATCTCTCGCATACCTCACCGCCTGCCTTTGTTCGGCTACGAAGGAAACGAGAGAGAGAAACGGAGTCGTATATAAGTAAAATTGTACACAGATAATGTTAATTATATGTGTTATTAAGATACGCGGTCACTACCACACAAACAGTAACGTTAACTTGATCAGTTAAGAGATGCATGTTGACAATAGATATAGATTGTTGGAAAAGGAGAGGCAGGCGCCGCTTACGGATGTAAATCTATCGCGATCGATCGTGAATCATTCTTACGTCGCCGCACGTTTCGTTGCCCCGCTCCGGCTCGAGTAAACGATTTTATTACTCGCGTTGCGCATTCCGCGAACGAGACGAGAAATCGACCCCTTTTCGAGGTAGTTTACACCATCGCTTTTGTAATGGTCTTTGTTTGTTTGCGGCGATAATTGCTCCAACAAACTCTTCGGCGCCGAGTATTTTCGGGGAAGCACATGTGGAGTCTTTCTTTTTCATCACCTCTCTCTCTCTCTCTCTCTCTCTCTCTCTCTCTCTCTCTCTTTCGTTCTTTTTTTAAATACAATCCAATAATTTATAAAACTTGCTTTCTTTAAACTGTATTCTCATTTGGATGAAAAGGATTTTTTAATAAATTGCCTCGCGCAATTAGAATGTATCGATTATTCAAAATACACACAAACGCATCGAGAACGTCGAGATGGAGATATTTTTCTTCTCTTTCGCCAACTTTTAATTTGTCAACAAATTTTGTCGAAATCGTAGGAATTTTTCTTCTAATTTTTGTGTCGCGATTCTCATATATAAACTAGCAAGTGTACTAATACGATAGCTGCTATCCTTGAAGAGATACGAATTACTAAATTCGCGAAAATTAGTAAAACAAGCGTGTCGAGAGAGCACGTGCGCACGCCGTGTTTCCTGCGATCATTCGCACGCAAGTATCTCACCTTTTGCATATATAACATAATGGATATCGAGGCATTATGATACGCATCTGTATTAGAATAATAAGAGGAAATATTGAAACGAAATTTATGATCGACGAGAGAAATCCATCGTTATCGAGAAAACCGAACGTTTTCTTATCGATACATTTGAGATAGTGTGGAATCAAAAAGTGATACGCGTCACGAATGTTTGGCATATCGGAAG